TTTCAACCTCTCAGATGAATTTTATTGTATTAAGAGTGCCACAAAGCGGCATGAAAACATGATGCCGACTCGAGTTTATTTCACGCACAATTAGTTGCGAGATGAACAAATTACTATTGGCACGTGTGTAAACAAAACCTTGATGGTGACAAAAATAAACCGAGGATAACCAGCGCATCAGTAACAAATTTCCAGTTATCACTAGCTTCAGCTGAAGAGAATTTTCCCATTTTAAGGGACTTGTTAGGCCCAGTAGAACCAGAGATATCGATGTTTTTGAGAAATCAACATGGTGCTGAACAATCGTTTGCACAAAATGTGACCACGAATTCACATTTTGTCAAGTATGCAATGTTGTGAATTCTAGAGCACATTTGTAGAAATTTCCTTTGTTTCATAAGATGCAGGTTATCCACCAGTGCAGGTAATCTGTTGACTTTTTTTTCGCTGCATGCAATAATCGGCCAGTGCGGGTAATCGGCCAAAAATTAGAGTAGTTTGTTCAAGTAAATGTTACCAGCTATTTCACTGAAACCTGGGACTGAAATATTTACCAATTTGAAAGTTGTCCCACAATTTTGTGGCAAAATATGACTTGTCTACTTCCAACCAATGTTGTGAAGATATCTGTCACATGTTACCAGTTTGAAAATACAATACAATACAAACTTTATTGACATCCCAGTAAATGGCTTTACAATACCATTTTGCATCATATGTTAAAGAAATCCTGCTTGTTTTGACCAAATTCATCCCTCACAGTCACCTTGAAAAACAACTTCCACTACTTTTCCATTCCATTCTTCTTGTGGCCAAATGAAAAGGCTAAGCATTCATTGGAAAATGTCACAGTTGACAACCTGGCATCCACACATGAAAAACTCTGCCCCAGATCCCAATGGGGACCTATGCAGCTCTCACAACCTTCGCATGGGGAAAGGTAACAAAGTTACATGGTATTTCTTATTTTTACCCTCTATGAGAAAACTTATCAAGAACCCTGACTTTTTATTCTGTTTTGAAGATCAAAGATGAAATAAACAACCCAACAAGTGAAATTGTGAAGACCCTGAAAACTGGTGAACAACAGTGGGAATGCTGCACATCAGACATTGCTGGCAAAATGTATCAGGTATAGCCCTTTACACGAATACCTCTTTTAACCAATGTTGGAACAAATTTTGTACGCCGTATATAGCAAAACTTTACAGGGAACAGGAAAAACGAGACAATTTTCTACTTGGCAAGTCTCGTTTCCAAAAATTAATTCACCATGAGACAAATTTTTGAACAGAGAGATGTTGTGAACATCACATTTTGAAACCACAGATGCTAATAATCACAATGGCTAACACTGTTGAGGAACTTTAAGAGAGTGGGAAATTCTCTCTGCAAGGTTTTTTCCTAAAGGGTGTTCTTGATGAGGTGTTTCCTTTAATTTGGTATTTGCTCATGAATTTAGTGAGAACATTTCCTCAAGAAATAATTCTTGTTAAGAGAAAATTGCACATGGAAGTTCGTTCTTTAGTTAAACCTGTCTGTTGATTCTGCCTCTCAAACTGTGCCTTTGATTGTTGTGATTTCATGTTGGTAGCAGGGCTCGACACTAACAGTAGCAAACTAGCCACAGACTGGTAGAAATTCAGTTTTAGCTAGAGGTTTTTCATTCCCACTTGCCAGTTTGGCTAGTAAAAATACTGAAATTGTAAGTTGTAACAACTAAGTTGTCACTCACCACTTGGCTAGTAGGTTGAAAAGTTAGTGTCAAGCCCTGGTTAGTTTCATAATTCATAACATCTTGTCATCAATGTTGCCTAAACAAAAGAATGTCAAAACTAAATCAATTGCTTTTTAATGCAAACTGGCCTGAATTTGTCGCAATTAGCAAAGTTAACTGAAATGTCAAGGAACAGTGTTTAAAATCAAACTTTAATTATTGAGCAATTTTGTACACACACGTTTTGAAAAATGACTGATTAACTATGGCTTCCAGTGTTTGAAATTTCTCTATATTGATTTACTGTTTTCATTCAACGAAGTGATTTATAAAGACATGCCAATTCTTTTAGTCTTGGGAATACAATGGATTTCTGTGGAATGCTGCAAGAGGTATCAGCTTAAAGAGCTCTGCACTTCTTGAGAAACCCAAGAAGGGCAAAAAGCAGTTTGCTAGGAGGCCATATCTTGGTTTCTTTCAGGTATTTTACCAATTTATGTCTGAGTATTTTTAATCACAATTGTACATTTGTATCTCGCTGAGTTAGTAGAATTGCATTTTCCTAATATTTTGACTCAGAAAGTGGTAGGGTTAAAGCCTGATCTTACATGTACATCCAATCACAAAAACTAGGGCTTTGGGTTTTTTTCAAGAAATTATTTACCTAGTAACCTAATGGCCTGCCTCATATGCTCTTCTTTACCAAGGAGTCAAATGCAAGTAGTTGAAACACTAAAAGAAAATTCTGTTGGCTTTTAGTTTATATATTCTATGGGAGATTTATAGTAAGCCTCAGACTAATGTAATGTATGGAATGCTCTCATGAACATTATCAGTGTATCCTAATTTTTTAATCCCATTTAATTTATTTCCACAGGCTAAGAAATTTGATTTTGTCCTTGTCAGTGTCCACTTAAAAGCAGCAGGACTAGGGAATTCTGACTTAGAAAGACTTGAGGTGAATGAAACTGTTACTTAAAGGACTCTGAGGTGAAGGGGCTATCTGAAATAATTCTATCATAAATCCTTCAAAGAAGGGAACTTTTAGTTAGATAAACAACAGTGATAGATTTTGAACTTGGTCATGAAATGAAAAAAGTTTTATTTTTCTTGGAAAAAAAATTGAGTATCGGAAGGGGAATAGAACCCCAGACCTATGGATTCTGCAATCGGATGCTCAACCACCTAGCCACACAGAAATCAATGGTGTGTGAAATTGTGACATCATTAGGTCCTTCTTCTTGTTAGTAAAAAGCATTGCGTGAGAAAATAGAGGAGAGGTGGTCAACTTTGATCTTTGTCATGAAAGAAAGAAGCTGTTACTTGTCTTGTCACTGTTACCCTAATCTCTTCTTCATCGTGTCCCCCCTTTCCTGTCCCTGCCATCGATGTTCTCTACAAATATATCACAAAGAAATGCAGCTATTGAAAAGCCTGGGGTGCCACTGAGTTCTCTTTGGCTCAATGCAAGGTGTCAGAAGCTTGAATCCACGTAAAGGCTTCAGTTTTTTTAACCATGTTTTAGACAACTAATTGGTCAGTGATTCCAACATCAACAATTTTTTTTTTTGTTCTTATGATGTTGGATTGTAGAAAGAACTGGCTAGAGTTCCTGAGTTGATAACAGCATTACAAACTCACATCCCAGGTAATGGTTTTGTTGTCTTGTTGAGTGCCAGGAATTTGTAGTCTGTTAATCTGTTGCTTGGCTACAGCTGTCTCCTCCCCACAGAGATGATGATTAAATGGCAGGGAGAGGCTACACACAACCTAATGTTCTGAGATTTGAGAGGAAGTTCAACCCTTTTTCTTCTAGGAGTAATGTGTTCTTGAATTTTCCTTTCTATTATATGGGAAAAAGGACAGTGTAGAATTCTCATAATGATTATTTGAATGATTTTTCATTTGAGTGTTGAATGTAATCCACAATTGCTCTGGTTTTGCTTAACTTTGCTTTTCAGTTGGTTTTGCAAAGTTGTGTGCATTACCAATCAGTCAAGCATAACTTTGTCACCAGTGTTTTCCATGCTTTAACCCTTTAACTCCCAGAAGTGATTAACTTGTAACTTCTCCCTGCAATATCCATGCTTGATCCTGCAAATAGGCAATGAGAATTCTCAGACTTATCATGTAGAACTTGTTATCTTGATCTAACACCAAACTCTTGTAACTTATTTTCAAGGAAATGTGTAGCAACTTGAGGCTGGGAGAATTAAAAATGCTTTTTTTTACTCTATGTTCTCATTGTCTCCTTGTAATATCTCCCTTTCTACTGATTGATTTTTGCGATTACTTTGGTTTTGGTGTCATCCAATTCAATTGCAATGCACTCTATCAACTATCGAGGAGACACTGTTTGGATTTGCTGTCCTTTCCTCAGGACTAGCTTGCAGAGAAACATTTTGTTGCAACTTGGGGGATTATCATTCTGAATTGAGAATTATTGGTTAAAATGTTGTTTTGATTGACCTTGTTTACCATGTCCTCAACAAAAATATCTGTTTCCTGAGAGGTTATTGTCGTACGAATGAATAAGTTTTTTTTTTTTTTCTCGGTGTCGTCTGTAGGAGAGAAAGACTTGATGGTTCTTGGAGATTTTAACCTTGGACCAGATACTGAAGGTAAAAAATGTAATTTAGTCTATGATGTCAAACTGTTGCCTTTTAAGTGTAGGTTGTACATTGAATTTGCTGTGCCTCGTGTGCCACTTTTTTGTTCTTGATGCATTTTGACGTCATTAGTGATCTATTAATGAACATGGAATCCTGGAGATCTGACTGCTTTATTCTAATGGCGTTAAACTTAACTTAACATAATCAACCACTACCCACAAATAGCATAGCTAGTCTCGGCGGGCAGTGTGTGGACGCTAAAACATCTTACATAAATTTTGGTTCAACAAAAGATTCAATAAATATACAAGAAACAGAAATTAGATATTAAATCATTAATTTAAAGCAGAAATGACAGTATGAGATAAAAATACAGAAATAGAAACACATGACAATAAATAGAAGAATACATAAGTTATACACTACTATTAACTGGATTTAACTTTTGACACATCATTGATTATTCGTTCGTTTATTCTGTTAACTTGATGTGGTTCTTTTGATCTAGCAGTCATCATGTTGAATTTGATCGAGATTTAAGTTCTGCTTGTTTGACAGAATTTGATGCCATGCGGAAAGGCGGGCTTGCAAATTTGATTCCAGCGTCCACTTTCACCAACATAAGCACCAAAAACATGCAGGGATCCGAGAATTATGATAACATCTGGATCAGCAAGCATGCTAAATCACACCAATTTACTGGGAAGTCAGGTAAAGTCGTCATATTGCGATGTGAACACCAATCTAACCTTTACATTCCCAAGATTTGAGAGTAAATCATCCTTGTTAACTCCATGTATTTCTTTGTCGACTACCTTGTCACTTTAAGGAGTTTGGTGTTATATCTGCATAGTAGAGTTGACAATTTGGTTATTTTCAGTTTGAGTTCTCATTTGCTCCTGGCGATTGTTGTTTTTGTCTGCTTGGCCCGATGTGATTACTTTCTTCTTCTTCTTCTTTATTTGTTTGAGCAGGTTGAATTATGGCAGTTATTTGCTGATGTGGACCTGCTATCTTCCCACCTATCCCACCCCAGGGGAGGACATCCATCACACAGTAATCTCGTGTGTGGGAAATTTACGTCTCCTACCCCAACCCTGCAGGAGACGGCACCTCCATTTATTCGTCCCTATCCGAGAAGACTAGAATATCTAAACCATTTCTTAATGTTATAGAAAGGTAGCAAATTTTTCTCAATTATTTTAAGACCTTGAGTGTTGGTCCGGCTGGGGTTCGAACCCTCGACCTCCCGCACAACAGTCCAGCGCACTATCCATTGGGCTAACTGGCTGGCTAACTTTGGAATTGGTTTCACGACAAAGTCGAAAAGCTCTCTAGAATTGACCTTAGCTCTGCTCTTTTAGTCAGTACAATATCAGCCCCTTCTTTTGTAAGGTAATCCGTTGCGCGAGACAGAAGAGATCAGCGAAAAAAGAAAGAATTTATCAGAGCTCGTACGCGATGACTCGCGCGCTGGAAAGGGACGACTCGTAGTCTGTAGTGAAGACACAGGGGGCCCACACAAGCGGCGTGTCTGGTCGTTTGTTCGAAATATAAAGAAATGTATGGGAGAATATTGAAGAGTCGTAATATCGTAAACTTATATCCAGGAATGTCTACGTTAAGGCTCAAAATAAATGTAAACCTACCTCACTTGCTGTGTATTGTCGTTTCTGTGGTTCTAAATGGCGAATTTGAGCGATTTGGTAGATTTTGCGTTGAGTTTTACTTTACTGTATAAGAAGGAGACTCCTTATATATAAAAGTAACACTCAACGAAAAATCTACCAAATCGCTCAAATTCGCCATTTAGAATCACAGAAACGTCAATACACAGCAAGTGAGGTAGGTTTACATTTATTTTGAGCCTTAACATAGACATTCCTTGATATAAGTTTACGATATTACGACTCTTCAATATTCTCCCATACATTTCTTTATATTTCGAACAAACGACCAGACACGCCACTTGCGTGGGCCTCCTGTGGCGAAGACAGCAGCAATCTAGGTCTTTACGTATGATGCACGATCCTCGCAGTAGATAGCGCTAATCTTAGTCTTTCTTTCTTCTTTCTTCTGTCTTCCTTTAAGGAGTGATCAGGGAGCGTCTTACCCACCCCGCCATAGCTGATGGTTGGCGCTGGAATGGCCTCGTTTCCGATCATTGTCCGGTTTGGGCCGAGTTTTATTGCGACCGAGATTTTGACGATGCCGAAGGCCTTGTTAGTGTTGATGACGTCGCTATTGATGGAAAATAAATCTTTGATTAATACGAATTATATTTTCAAAAAGAGAACTGTATTAAAAGATGGCGTATTGATATTTATTATATCAAGGACGACAAAATGGGAGCTCCTGTGGTCAATTAAACCCCACACTAGCTCACAACCGACCTACCACCCTGCCTCTAAAGTGTAAAGTATTGTTGATGTAACCTAAGAGATCACATAATTCACAAGCGTCTTGCACACTGTTAGAGTAAATAGTATTGAAAGAAGCGTGTTTCACAGAACAGAATAGAAACGGCGCGTGAAATTTCCTTTCCACCAAGCAACATGTGATGACTTTTCCAGCTTTGGCTGGGTCCCATGTATTTTACGTTTTCTATTCTCTTCATCATTTATGAATTCTTGATGCTTAAATTAGTTTATATCAGCCTTTAATTGGTAGAAGAATGGCCACACAAGAGTGCGGATTAATTTTCGAACTTTCTAATAGATATCGAAATAAACTCGATGATAGTCGCGCTGATCTTTTTCAAGTTTACCATCACAAATTCCGTGTACGTGCTCCCTCTCTTTGTTTTAACTCTGTGAGCTACTTTTTTAGTTCTACAGTTTTCAGTCTTTCTTTTGCTATATTTATATTAATTTAGTTAGCAGTTAGTCATTGGTAAAACTGCCTCAAATAGTAATAATAATAATATAGATCAATTTCTATAGCCCATTTCTATGTAATTCTCTAATGCGCTTTACAACACCGTGCGTTGGACTTTTCCAGACTTCCGGCGGCAGTTTACAATAAATAAAGAAGAAATTTTACAGATGCCCCCTTCCCCCATCATTCAAATGATGAGGAAATGAACGGATCAATGGAATGCAGTTTGGACTTTCCGAATATCTAATTCTTTTGTAATCCACTTTAATCAAACGACACCCTCGTTAAGTCACAATCGGGTAAAAAATTGGTGTGAGTAGGTGTCTATTCCTCTGTTGTTTCTACAACTCGGTCCGATCATCGAATTTCCAAATAGAGGGGTCCAAACCACGCCCACTCTAACCTCCCGCCCTCCCTTCTTTAATTATATGAGTAATTATATACGATCTTGTTGTTGCAAGAGTTTTAGCGTAAGATAGGTAGTAAAAAATGTACATGGTCCGCCACCTGCTAGATCAAGCTATACGACGCCTGAGAAGTGTTGAAGACAAATGGTGTTGGTGTTTGTGTATGTATCTTCAATTTGCATCTAGAACAAAGGAGATTGAAAGGTAAAGGGGAGGCTAACAATTTGGTTTTCTCACCACTTTTTTCCGGAATACACTAACAAGTTATTTCGTGTGATGCTTTGAAATGTTATTAAAAAAATTCGGTGTTTTCTGTATTCTTGCCTGTACAATACTGGGGAAGGCTACATGAAAAGCATAAAAGTTTTGGCGTTGAACGAGCCCTATTAGAGGAGCGGAATGTAGACTGGATTGACACGCTGGGTACAATACAATGTGGCCAAACAAAACAACTAAAATCAAGCAAAATTTTGCTATGAGATTAAGACTAAATTTGCGTTTTCTGATTTCGAATTACTAATGTATTTCTCTTAGATCGAATAATCTTTAAAGTTTGGATAATATTATACGGTTTGTGGTGGTCGTCTGAGCTGACCAGCTCCGAGTAAGGAAACAACAACCTAACAAAAAACTCGCGAGGATAATTCGATAATTTCAAGTCAGCGGGATCTAGGTTCGTGTCAATAAATAAGACCATGCTATATATTGGATGTTTATGGTCAATAAGTAATTGGTAATTCACCGTTTGTCCACGGCTGAGCACAGGAACCTATATTTGCACTCCAGAATGATCCGCGAAATTCGCCCGCACTAAAATCACAATTTGGCGTGTTGGATAAATCTCTCATTAGTCGTCTTGTTGCGTAGTATCGCTGAGTACTCGAACTCGTTGTTTGTATTTTGACTCGCCCTAAAGCATACCTGCCAACCACCAGAGTACAAAAATCTGGAGACGTTTAGAAATTTTTGCAGTGTATCGAAATCCATACTCGTCAATTCGCGCGAGATAACCTGAACCGCGCCAAATTTCTATCATGTATTGTGCGATATGATTGGTTGACTTCTGACCAATTACGATACTCGTCAAATGTATATCAGTTTGATTACCCTGTTTTTGTTTTACTATTCCCGATCGAGAACAGCTTAAATAAGAGCAGTAAATCCTTTTTGACATCTCGAAAACAACTAAATTATTGAAAAAAATTGAAAAAAAGCCACGGTAGGTATTTCCCGGGAGATTTGGTGCTCTAATCAGGAGACCGGGAGATTGATGAAAAACTTGGAGACTCCCGCGAAAACCGTAAGAGTTGCCAGGTACACTGAAGGCTCGTCAAATTATGGCACAACTCGTAAAAATACTTGGCGGTACTGCACAACAAAACGTCTTCTAAGATATAGATACTGTATCGTAATTGGCTTACCTCCTCCTTTCCAGTCTTCAACTGAAGATAATCAATGCCGAAATCAATCATGGCGCCCCTGTATATGACCGTGTTTCTGGGAATAACTCTTTTATTAGGGTGTCATTTGGCGTTTTCTCTACCTGATACCGACTCAGAAACAGACAGACAAACTGATCACAGGGTTGATTCAAACAGACCTATTGAAAGGAAGGAAGAGGATGACAATCAAGTGGACGAACAAAGTAAGTTGAGCTGATTCCACAGGCTCTCTGCTGAAGAGGTCGTACATTACGGTTTGAGTTTGAGTTGTTTTTGTTTATCCGGACTTCTATCGTTTTGGAAAATTATATTTTATATTTAAACATCAGGTAATCGAGTGTCCAAAGCTACTGCGAGGCATATCAAGCCAACCGTCGCTAATTCTGGGAAATATATTTAATGGCATAATATATAATAATATCTCAGTCTGTAGTTAGTTCTTATTAACCGAGCGGGAGGTCAGTATGGGAGAATCTTGACCGAGGTCGCCAGTACAGACCGAACGCAGTGGCTGTGTCAGCCAATCAAATTCGTGATTTCGGTAGTTCCCAGTCCTTGTAAGACACAACCATGTAATAAATTGTGAGATTAACGTCACTATCCGGGTCGGTATTATTTTTTT